GGGGGGGGGGGGTCCAGTCACATTCCTAACTTGTGAGCACGGCAGGGGAGGGGCTCCCGACTCCCAGCTGTCCCCCAAGAGAACGATGTAGTCCCATCCAGAAGGAACGATCAGGCGCGTGGACTGTGCAGAGGCTTCCCCCTGGGGACCACCCGTTTCCACCCCCTCGAGGCGCCCCTGGGAAAGGGGTCAGCACCAAGGTCAGGCTGACATTCTTTGGCCACACCAGGCTCAGCTCTGGGATGAGGGAGCTCGACGCTCCCCTCCCAGCCCTCCCTGCCGTGTGGGACGCGTTTAAAATTCCGATTTTATATAAAAAAGGGCCGACTGCTTGACTGTGGCTGACCTTCCCCAAGGGGCCGGGCGTTACCGTTTAGTGTTTCACGGGTAACAACCGCCTGGAGACGGAGGGGACGGGGCTCCGGCCTGAGCTGCGTCCGTGGTCCCAGCCGCGCCCCCGCGTCTGTCCGTCCGTCCCTCCCAGCTGTGCCCAGAGCGGGACCACGCGGAGGAACAGCCACCAGCGGAAGATCAACCAGCAGGAGGAGAGCTGCCAGAACCTGACGGACTTCACCCCCGCGCGGGTGCCCAGCAGCCTGGACATCTTCACGGCCTACAACGAGACGCTGCAGTGCTCGCACGAGTGCGTGCGCCCCGCCGTGCCTGTGTACACCGACGACACGCTGCACCCCGCGGGCGAGTACAAGTCCACGTTCAACGGGAACCGGTAAGCCCGGCGCCTGCCGTCGGAGCTCCCCGCACAGAGCCCGGGGGCTGCGGGCGGGCGGGAGGCGCCTTCCCCTGGATGGGGCGGGAGGCCCCTTCCCCTGGGACGGGCGGGAGGCGCCTTCACCTGGGTCGGGCGGGAGGCCCCTTCCCCTGGATCGGGCGGGAGGCGCCTTCCCCTGGATCGGGCGGGAGCCCCTTCCCCTGGATCGGGCGGGAGCCCCTTCCCCTGGATGGGGCGGGAGGCCCCTTCCCCTGGATCGGGCGGGAGGCCCCTTCCCCTGGATCGGGCGGGAGGCCCCTTCCCCTGGATCGGGCGGGAGCCCCCTTCCCCTGGATCGGGCGGGAGGCGCCTTCCCCTGGATCGGGCGGGAGGCCCCTTCCCCTGGATCGGGCGGGAGCCCCTTCCCCTGGGACGGGCGGGAGGCGCCTTCCCCTGGATCGGGCGGGAGGCCCCTTCCCCTGGGTCGGGCGGGAGGCCCCTTCCCCTGGGTCGGGCGGGAGGCGCCTTCCCCTGTGTCTGAGGGTCCCAGCAAAGGCAAAGGCAGACAGGCACCCACCACCCGGAGAGAGGACAGCCGCAGCCTGACCCCCACCCAGACCTGCACTCGCTGGGCAGCGGGCCGAGTGCCTTCCTGCGCTGTGCCCACGGCGGCCTCACCGCCCGGAGCTCAAAGCCAGCGGTGGAG